ATATAATCCCCGGGGTTTTTTGCTTTGTATGTCAGGGGCGGGAGATTCATGTGATTGGTTGTTGGTCGCGTTGCTCGCAAAAAACCCCAAGCTCTCAGACACGCCCAGCTCCAAGATTTTCAAGATTTTTTTCCAGTTGTGTATTTTCAAATTCTAGCGCACTCGAGCTGTTTTCTCCAAAATTACCTACCCCAACTTTAAGTAAAAAAACATCTAGTTGATATTTTTGTTCTCTTTTATTTATTTAGATTGAAATTTCATATTGTGGCAATCAAAAAGTAACAGGAACTAATCAAGTTACATAACTTTGATATTTGATACTCGACATACGTTACTGATTACATTTCTTTTACAAGTAACTAGTAATTGTAACGGATTCCATTTTTAAAGTAAACCTCCCAACCAGAGGACAACAGGCTTGATTGCTGTTTCATCAGTACATTGGAAGTCATACAAATGCCACGATAAAAAAGCATTTCACTGTAATCAACCTGACTTACAAGAAAACCATGGGCGTTTTATAATTACCGTACTATAGGTCGGAATCAACATGTTGTGACAAGAGATTCTGAACTAGCGAGGAAATTCTTGGGAAATGTAAAAAATGCTAGCTGAACACCCATCTGTCAGTTTCCTTTTAATGATGTGTACAGTACAGATTAGCATTGGAGGGTTGTCAAAACAACTGCTTATCTGTGGTTCCCTGGTAAGTGTTTTTTTTGTTGAAGGACCATTTTTTTATTTGAGGAAGTAATCTCTTAAAAGTATTCCTTGTTTAAAAGAAGACAAGTCGACCCACCCTTCAATTTAACATATTTCTTTGTGTTTGTTTGGACGCATTAAGAAAAGTGTGGATTTAGCATCTATTTATCAGTGATTTCCTGTTCTTCTCGTGTCCTCTTTTCACCCTGTATTTACTCATTAGTATTGGTAACTCCTTCCATGAGACAAGAAGGAAATTGTATTTTATATTGACCAGCCATCTTGTACACTCTACCGATTTATGCATGCACGTAAACGAAAGCCCCATGCGCCGCTGCTTCGGTGATTAAACGGTTTGTGATCGTCAACAGGACTTGTTGTAATCATTGCTCATCACAGCAAAAAGTCCCAGCTGAACACACACAAGCTGAGTCTGGTCCAAAAGCAACATGTCATTTAACATTCAAAAGAGGGATTGGTGCAACTCTCTGTTCCCAGTGTATTTGATGTAATCCTGTTTATAGTACTAATAACTGAGCACAAGTTATATTTGAAACTAATAAACTACATTTACAGTATGGTTTTAGCGCTATCTTTGAAGCTTGTGTGTTTTTGAAAGCTCATCAAAATGTAAAATAAAGATTAACAGCAGAAAGTTAGGCTGGTATTGTTTCTGTGTAAACCTATATGTAACATTTTAGTCTAAATGGGGAATATATAACAGAGCCCTGGGTGTAGAAACTGCTATTAACAATTCTCGTTCAGCTTTTCACTTTGTTCTACTTGGGAGAGGGCATCGACATGCTGATGAAGACAAATACCTGCTAACATGTGTTTACAGTGACATTATGTCAATGTTCTGTCAGCCCTCTTTGCAAATAGAGCTTACTCTACAATGCTGTGCAGTAATGTTGTTTATTAAATCGCCCTACTTTTAAAAAAAGAACGTGTTATTCTGGTTTTAAGAGGTTTTTTAGGCTGGAGAGTGCCTTTTTATTATATACATTTTGCCTTGAAAGGGGGAAACAGGGGGATGACTTTGCCAAAAAAATATATAAATATGTCAATGTCTTTAGTGCAGTAAAAAAAAATCCAAATTCGCACACATTTTGGTTTTATTATTGACAAAGGGCACCTGACCTCTCAAACGAATTTTAAAATAATTTGATTTACAGTTCATTCAACACTTTAAAAATGTTTACAATGAACTCTATTGGGTAGTTTCTTAGTTCAAATTTGAGTTTTTCACTAAACTTGGAAAAGTGGCAACATTTTGACCTTTAACAAGTTTGCTTTTTGACATACTTCCCTGACTGTGACGAAAAATCACCATGTCTTAATACGATTTCAGTTATTGTGGTCATTTTGACACAGAGTTGTTGACTGAACTTTTTTTAATAGTGTAGCAGATTGCATATTTTCTGCTGTGCGATGTTGTGGAGCTGGGCTACTGTTCCTGAATTCAAAATGAATGTTTCTAATTAAAACATTTCAATTTTTGGCCATGTATTTAGTGGGTGTGACTTTTGTTTTGGCCTCATCTATTAACTACATTTGAGGCAAGAGGCATCAGGTGGCAGTTGAACATGTCTCTTGTAAGGATGATTTAAAGAAAACAAGGTCTTACATTTTCACATAATTGATACGTTCTTTAAAATCATTTCTGGACTCACAAGTCAATGACTTTTTCGCCGCTGGATGGAAACTTTGTTCAGAACGGCAATGGAGTTTTTTCTTTTATCAATCATTGTATTTAACAGTTGGCAGGCAGAGGCTTGGTGCTCAACCAACTCATCATGTGGTCTGTCTCTGATTTGTTATGGCTTCAACACAATGTGCTGAAATTCATACATAGGTGTTGTTAGTATTTATGCACTATTTAACTGGCATATCAATGAAATGAAGTGCACCACAGCCTAATCAACACTCATATCACAACTTTGTTTGTTATTGTTTTGAAGTGCCTTAGGGTCAAAAAAGCCCATCAGCATTCTCAGTTCTTTAAAATGTTATGTTTCCAAATATCTCAGATCGTGTGGGGAATCATAGAGGTTTCACACGGAGACCCCTGCAGCGATGCTTCTGGCTCGGTGCTTTAATGAACCCATTTGGCAGCGAACGTGGTAACCAGCAAAGGATCATGTTCTGGTCGCTGCTGCTGGGCATCTGTGGTTCTGTTTTTCTGGTTTCATAAAGTGATTAAAATCATGTTTGCAAGAACATTCTGAAATATTTCAAGGAGAGAATTTAGTAAACATATAATTCCAGTCTAATCATGGTCTCCTGGTTTCAAGGAGCAACAATATCCAACCCGACACTTTCATAATTTGACATTGATTTCTTATCAAATTTGTTATATTATTATAATTTGAAAAATATATATTATTAAAAAAATGTTGTCTGGCAGTGGCTAAGTCAGTAGGGGCTTGGACTGTGAGCCGTAGGGTTGCCGGTTCAAGTCCCCGCACAGACCTATATTGTATATGGAGTGTTGAAGGGAGGCTGTGGCTCAGTGTATAGTGTGCTGGTCTGGAAATCAGGGGATAGCAAGTTCGAGTCCCACTGCAGTCAGCATGTCGTTGTGTCCCTTTTTAACTTGAAACTTTATTTATTTATTATTGTAATGCTATGAACTATTTATCTTGCACGTTGGAATGATCCACATCTCTGCTCCCGGGTGTTTCTGTGTGTTTTCTTCCTGTATGTTCCTGCCTGTGTACATGACATAAGCTGCTCATAACCAATCGCCCCTTGCGGGATTAATAAAGTTGTGGATTGATTGAACCCCCCACTCCCATTGCTCCCCTGGGCGCTGTACAATAGCTGCCCACTGCTCCTGGTACTAGGATGGGTTAAAAGCAGAGAACAAATGTCCCTGTGTGTGCTGTGTGCTCTGAATGTGTGACCATTAAAGAGGGTTTCATCCCTCCGATTCTATCTATATTCAAATTCTATTCAGAAATTCCTTGAAAGCCAGCATTACACTTTCCTTTTCATCTGATCTCCTGTGACTTCTTGTCTTGTAGTCCCGGGACCCTCTGGCGTTGTGTGACCTGAAAGCAGAAGTTTCCCCACGGATCTCGGCCGAGGACTTGATCGACCTGTGTGAGCTGTCATTGTCCGGATCCGTCAAAAGGACCAGAGCCGGCAGACCCAAAATCATTGCAGTCGACATCCGCAATTTAGAGGAGTATCCTTACCATTTCTGTGTAGACATGAAATGTACATGCTTATCCCTTAACTCTATAATGTTGTTCATTCAAATCCATTGCACAATCTTTCTTCACTGAGGCATATAAACAAGCTTGTTTGAACAACCCTTGAATTGTGTCCAACAAAGCAAAAACAGCAAATGTTCTGCTGACATTTCATATTGCAAAACTAGCTTATGCAATATTGATATTTCCAGATAAGGTTCTGTTTAGTCACATTTATGCTTTCCGCTTCATAAATGTTATTTTTTACACTTTACACAAAACAGGGTAGAGAATATGAACTCCTATTCTAATTTCTTCCCAGTAAAGGACACTTAATTTTGAAGAGTTATAATCTTCTTAGTTATGTGATTCAGCTGAGTGTCTTTAAAGCGGTGATGACTTCTGATGTCAATACTTTGAAGACAAATTATACAAGAAGTAGTTCTTCTGACGTGTTGTCCAACCCATCTAAAGTGTTTATAATTTTTCTGATTAGCTACACTACAAGGCTAAGTGAGGAGCTGGCTATAAAGGAGAAGAGAGAAGCAAGAGGGATATGCAATAACGGTCTCAATTTCAGTTTTTTTTAACCACTGGCACAAAAAGTCTAGGTAATCACAACCTCTACATTACGGTTTAAACTAAAGTCTACAATCTTTTTTTTGTGTCTATTCTTTTATTAATGTGTTGTGTAGAGGGGAGGAGAAAAAGTTAATTGGATAAAATACATTTACAACATAATTGTTCAGACAGCCTTGGAGATATAGTGTTGCTAAAAAGTTAAATTAAAAATTAAAAACCCATAGCGTGATCTGAAAATATCAAAAAAGCTGATAAGAGGGCTGTCCTCTATTAAGTGGATTGCACGGCAGTATGCATTGGTTTCATATGAACATTTCCTTAGGTAAACATGAACATTTCCACTGCTTGCCACAATCAAAAGCCCCTTAATCCATCTATTTCAATTGTATTTACTATTCTGGGAAAAGTGGCCCAGAAACCCCGTCTGCACAAAATGCAGAGGAACAGCGGAATGGTAATTGTCAAAGGGGGTTAAAAAGCCATTAATCAATAAGGATTAGTGCATAAAGCAAGGATTGGGAAAGGCAGCTCTTCCAGCCAAATTCCTCGCTGGAGCCTCCTGATAGACATGCTCCTCAGGCTCACTCTCGTGGACAAAGGGATTTTTACCACTTCCACAGGATTTAGCAACCCTTGTTCACCTTTATTGTGATCTTAGGCAAAGCTGTGTTGTGGGTGTCTGCGGTCACGAAAAGTGGATTAAATGAAGACCTCTGTGGGGTTAATCAGGAAAATCTAGATGTCGCTGTCTCTGTACTTTGTGGTGGCTGATGTTAAACAACTTGTATGGGGCTCTTGTGTTTTCAGACCTCAAAGTACCACAATGGGATTTGTCATCTTGAGGATTATACGCTGTGTTCTGTAAAATACTGACTCATATGTTTTGTGGTAGCTGGTAGGATTTGAACATAGTCATTTGAAGGAGAAATACCTGTTTTTAATAAGTACCACTTGTCTTTACATATGTAGCAATAATGTCAATGACTACACTCTCAGATATAAGGCCGCCTCCTTTTTTCTCCAGAGTTCTTTTTCTATTACACACCACTCTGGGGTTGTTCACCCTCCATTTGCTGACCCAGTCTTTCTCCGTTCATTTCCTCCCACTGACTCCCTTATTGCATTTTCTATATGTATGATTCTTCCTGTATGTTCCTTTCCTTCAGTTAGAAAAGATAGTTCTTAGTTAAATAGCTATCGTAAAGCTTGCCTTTCTTTTTTTTGTATTGGAAGTAGGGCAGGGCGATATATTGATATAATAAGGGTAATGCTATATGAGACTAGATATTGTCTTTGATTTTGGATTTCGTCATGTTGAAAGGGTTTCCTGTTTTGAAAGGCTGCATAGTAGTAAGGTGATGAAACTTATCAGACTGTTGTAGCTGTTCTATTGTTTGCCTTAAACCACTTAGTCATAAATTCCACATTGCTGATTAGCATTTATCAAGAATCGCAGATATTTTTCTGACGGCATCAATGGCAAAACCTACATTATTGTTCAAAATGGATATAGAGGGATTTGGTGGTATGTGATTTCCTACATAACGCCCATCCCTTATTGAATGTCAAACTGATATTATATATAGTTTTGTGATATCTGAAATGGTTTACTGAAACTTGTATAAAGGGACCATATAATGCTTTTTGGGATTTCCCCTTTCCTGTATAGTTTTATCTAGGTTTTTGTGCATGTAAAAAAAAGAATGTTTCTCAATGTCGAGGAAAGCTGCTCCACAGCCACTATTTCAAGGATACATCGAGTCCCGCCGAAGGACTGTTCCAATGTCCAGCATACTTGGAATTCTACCGAGAGCGGCGTACTTCGTTGCTGGAAATTTCGAGGCTGCACATGTGTAGACTCTGCGGTCTTAAAATCCCCACAATGCTTTGCGCACGGACCAATTTCCAAAATCCTTGGCGGAAAATGCACGGCGGGGCCTCTCATATGACGCACACATGCACACTTGCTAGCCTGTTCCATTCTTCGTTTTCCGAGGCTAGGAGGTTTTCTTGCCTCGCTTCTTAAGGAACTCACTCGGAGGTACAGGTGCTACCAAGCAAGCTTCTTCGACACTGAGAAACACTCCCCCCTGCCTGAAACGCCTCCTTTGGAAAAGAGGTGTTGCAGCACAGGCAATATAAGAAAAATAAACAGCTTTTAGAGCCTTAAAGCATGTAAACATGTCACAGTAGTGGCACAAAATTGTAATACGAACCTGAAAATGTGCCCTTTTTAGAGGATATTTTACAAAGTTCACCTCTCACTCTGTCCCTAGTCCCATGATTGTGTGCTACTCTTTCAAAGCTGTGCTCCTTCACCGCCACTGCCTCCAGCTTCAACAGAGGCCATATTTCTGGCAGCATCAACATTCCCTTCAGCACAGCCTTCGGCCCGAACAGTGAGCTGGTGCAGTGTCCTGCGACCGGAGTCCTCCAGAGCTACAGAGGACGGGTCATTGTGATCATCAGCCACGCCATCACAAATGCTATTATGGTATTAAAGCAGTCACACTCACACATGTCCACAACACATTTGTATACACTATTAAGACTCCAAAGCTGCATTCAGGTGCAATAAATAATTAAGTGAACCACAGTTAATGCAGATGTATTATCAATTGGTGTTATTGGTGTTGTTGCCCTGGGGTGATTTTAAATATTTCTCCCAGTTTACTGTGTTGTGGCCATGCAGGTGACACTACTTTACAGATTACATTGTTGGTCTGCCATTTTGGTTCAGACTCAAATGTTCCTTTAAATGTAGAGGGATTATTATCATGTCAATCCTACTGAAGTGAGCTCTCCATGTTTCCCCTTGTGTTGCCATGAACTGGACATGTATGGTTTTTGTTTTTAGATACTTTTTTTTTATTTTTTATGTTTATTGCGTGAAGTAGAAATTAGACGGGTAAGGTATGGAAAGGGAACAATATGCAAGAAAGGACACATGCAAGATTTATACATGAGATAAGGAATACCAAATGTGCAATATACACACCCAGCCATCTTGACAATTAAGAGCTCAGGAATATATTTTAAACAGTAGGAACCAATTAAAAAAGAAAAGAAAGTTGTCTCTATGTCCTCCTTTTAGAGATTTATCATGGAATGTGAAATCCCTTTAGGGTCGTGGGTGGGGGTCGTGTCAGGGTCATGAAAACAGACCACAGGGTCATTTAGCTTCCTTTAAAAACGCTCTGATCATCAGCCGGATCTCACTGATGTCTTAGGGGATAAAGACACTATATATGATATTTATAGGAGAGATGTTTCACTGTCCCAAACATTTGTTAAGAGAATCTGATGATCCACGGGAGTTAAACATGTCATGTGAAATTACTCAACACCATTAACACAAATGTTTGTGTTTCACAACCAAAAAAGCTGCCATAAGTGAACATTAAAGGTGGGGTAGGTAATTTTGGACAAACCGGCTCGAGATCGCTAGAATTTGAAAATACACAACCGGAGAAAATCTGCCACTTCCTTACAGAGCCCCTCCTCCAACACGCACGAACGCGCACATGACCAATGAGGGCAGGAGATAAGTTTGTGCACAGATGGAAGGCTGACAGGCAGG